CCCCCTCTCTTCGGGGATGGCCTAGGGGGTAGGCCTAGGGGTAGGCCTAGGGTAGGCCTAGGGGGTAGGCCTAGGGGTAGACCTAGGGGTAGGCCTAGGGGGTAGGCCTCGGGGTAGGCCTACGGTCGGGGTCTTGACCCAAGGAACCCAAAATAAGGAACGAGGCCCTTTTTCTCCATAAGTGAACCTTCGATTTCCTGTCGGAAACATAAGGAAAACCTGAGGCAAGCTGTGAAACACTTAAGGAACGCGGAGCCCCTCCCCAACGAAAAGGGTTCCTTCTTCAGGGCCCCGACTGTAAGGTAGGCCTACCCTCCGGGTTCTATATCTGCGTCCAGGGCCTGCTGTCTGCTCTGCTGCCCCCTCGGCTCGCGCGGGAGCGGCCGGGAGCTGCTCCGCGCTTCCCTGGAGGTCCCTGGATTCCCTGCGATGTACCTCGATCTATCTGGATGTGCCTCGATCTGTCTGCGTTTGCCTTGACTTCTCTGGGTCCAGTCCCACAAGTCGCTGGGCGAAAAGTCGTCGAGCACTTTTTGGATTTTTCCGCCCCCCTCAGGCATGAGTACATCGCAAAACAAATCTGGCCTTCCCAGGGCCCTCGCGGGCCCCGGGACGGTCCAACAACGAATCAGCTTGGAGGGCTGGCCTTGGGGAACAAACCAGGGTCCAGGACCGATTTCCCTCGGGACCCCCTTCCTTCGTGGCGACTCCTCCCTCTCTCCCTCCCTTCCCTTCCCTCCCTCCCCTCCCTTCCAGTTCCTCTTTTCCCTTTCCTCCCTCCCTCCCTCTTCCATCCCTCCCCTTCCTCCATAGAGACTCCTCCCTTCCCTCCATCCCTCCCTTTCCTTCGCAGCGACTCCTGCCTGCCTCCCTCCCTCCCTCCTGCTGCTCGTACTCCTCAAGAGGCGGGGCGGCGATCCGAGGGGGAGAGGTGTGTGGGTGGGTGGGGGGGGGGGGGGGCGCGCTCGGGGAGAGGGGGCAGCTCCTCCTCCTCCTCCTCCTCCTCCTCTCACTCCTCCTCCTCCTCTCCTCCTCTCCCCCTCCTACTCCCCTCTTCCCCCTCCTCCTCCACCCCTCCTCCCCACTCCTCCTCCTCCCCTCCTCCTCCTCTCCTCCTCCTCCTCCCCTCCTCCTCCTCCTCTTCCTCCTCCTCCTCCTCATCTCCTCATCCTCCCCTCTCCTCCTCCTCCTCATCCTCCTCCTCCTCCTCCTCCTCCTACTCCTCCTCCTCCTCTCCTCCTCCTCCTCCTCCTCCTCCCTCCCACCTGTTCCTTCCTCCTGCTCCGCCTCGCTGGCGGATGGCTACGGCACCTGCTTGCGACGATGCTCGGCGCTGGGCGCGCTGCGCCCCGCGTGCCGCACGGCCCGCCCGACGCGGCCTCCGTGGCCGCGCTCCCCCCGCAGCGACACAGCGCCGAAGCCCGGGCCAGACGAGCCCGCGGCGCGCGTGCGAGCGTCAAGGCGAGGAGGAGGAGGAGGAGGAGGAGGAGGAGGAGGAGGAGGAGGAGGAGGAGGAGGAGGAGGGGGAGGAGGAGGAGGAGGGGAGGGGGCAGGAGGAGGCGGGGGAGGAGAAGAAGAGGTGGTAGGAGGAGGAGGAGGAGGAGGAGGAGGAGGAGGGAGGAGGAGAGGGGAGGAGGGGAGGAGGAGGAGAAGAGGGGAGGAGGAGGAGGAGGAGGAGGAGGAGGAGGAGAGGGAGAGAAGAGATGGAGGAGGAGGAGGAGGAGGGTGAGGGGAGGGGGAGGGGGGGGAGGAGGAGGGGGGGGGGGACAAGCTAGGTGCGCTCGCGTCATATCTGACGTACCTACCCCTCCCTCCCTCCCTTACCATGGCCGCTGATTTTCTCTATCGCGGACGTACTGCGTGTCGTAGAGAACTTGTGGCTCGCGCAAGCGAGTGCGTAGTGGGTGGTGGTGCACGTGCGTGAGTGCTTGCGTGTGCGCGTGGTTGTCGTGGTGGTGGTGGTGGTGGTGGTGGTGGTGGTGGTGGTGGTGGTGGTGGTTTGGTTGGTGGTGGTGGTGGTGGGGGTGTGGTAGGGTGGTGGTGGTGGGTGGGTGGTGGTGGGGTGGTGGTGGTGGTGGTGCGTGGGGGGTGTGGGGGTGGGTGGGTGTGTGGTGGTGGTGGTGGTGGTGGTGGTGGTGGTGGTGGTGGTGGTGGTGGTGGTGGTGGTGGTGGTGGTGGTGGAGGTGGCGGTGCGGCGCGGTGGTGGCGGGCTGATGGGCGCGCGAGAAAAAGGCCCGCGCTGGGGCGAGAACGCCATCCTGAACGACGGAGGCCAAACATCGATCCGAAAATGAGGCCCACGCTGCAGCGGGAGCACGATTCGGAACGATTCGGGAGCAGAAATGAGGCCGGAGCCTCAACGAGAGCAGCATTTTGGGAAACAGTGACGCCGGCGCCTCAGCGAGAGTCGTTTCCGGGATTTCCCGGGCATCCTGTATGTTAAAAAACAGTACGCGGAGGGTGCGCGGCCATCACCCGGACCGCATCCATGGGAAAGAAGGCGGAGAGAGTGAGAGTATTGAGAAGTATTTTTCATATGAGGCTAATTGTGGGGGGGGGAGGAGGGGGAAGAGGAGGGTAGGGGGGGGGGGGGCGGGGGGGGGGGAGGAAAGTCGGGGGATGAAGAGGAGGAGGAGGAGGCGGAGGAGGAGGAGGAGGAGGAGGAGGAGGAGGAGGAGGAGGCGGAGGAGGAGGAGGAGGGGGCTTCTGGCTCTTCTCGGCCTCCGGGGGGCCCTCCCCAGGCACGACTCGGGGCCGTCGAGGCACGCCTCGGGCCGAGAGGCCGGAGTGGAGTCCCTGGGAACGGAGGGGTCGAGCCCTCGGGGGGCCGACGTCGGGAGCAGACATCATGGCGCCGCGGGCCTTCGACGGGCGTTGTCCAGATTTTTGTTCGCGACCCGTGGCTCCCAGAGGTCACGACCCTCTTCCCGGGACCGGCCTGTCATCCTGATATCGCCATGTGGCGGCACTCGTAGTCCCTTCGGACTCATCGTCCCCCGGGTCCGGTTTCTTAAGGCGCCTTGTTGGGAAGCGAGGGGGGTCCAATCTGTTACGGCGGATTCTTCAAACAGGAAGATGGGGGGCGGGTCCAGTGAATTGAGGCGTCTTTGTGCACCCGATGTTCCGCTCAAACATATGCGGCTGCTCGCATGCAATTTCGTTTTCTTGGCCGGCTTCGCGAATCATCATCGCCATCGTCGTCATCCTTCTCTTAGTCGACATCACAATATCCATCACCATAACAATTCCTGAATACCACTCATTCTTGACCGCGGCTTCCCTTTCAGAGGCTTGCGTCTCAATCTCAACGCTCTCATTGCAATCCGTTACCATCGCTTTTGCCATCGCGGCCGCTATCCTGACTCACGTGTGCCATTTCGCAAAGGGGGGGGCGGAATACTAAGACCCCTCGTGGAAAGGAGGGTCTGGTCAATGAAATTGCATCTGAAGGAGGGGAGGGCTACGAATAAGGGCCCTCCGAAGCCGACGTCCCGGAGGCGCCTTTTTGGGTCGAGCTCCAAGAAGGGAAAAATCAGCCGACGCCACGAGCGCACCCTCCGAGGCCCAGGAAAAAAGCCCCGACAACCTGGTATACGCAACGCTCGAACCTCGGTCCGACGACGACGGCGACGACGCCGACGACGACGACGACGAAGCCGAGGACGACGACGATGACGACGCCGACGACGACGGCGACGGCGACGACGACGACGACGACGGCGCCGCCGACGACGACGGCGCCGACGCCGACGCCCACACCGACGCCGACGGCGACGCCGACGCCGACGACGACGACTGGGCCGCACACCAGAGTGACCCTGGGCCAGGTGCGCTACCTCGCGAGGCCGCGTGGAGGCCAATTCAGGCGCGCACGCCCAAGGCCGAAGGAACTCCTGTGGGCCTGCACCAGGCCACTTGAACCAACAGGTACCGATACCTCCTCCTCCTCCCCCTCCTCCTCCTCCTCCTCCTCCTTCTCCACCCCCTCCCCCTCCCCCTCATCCTCCTCCTCCTCCTCCTCCTCCTCCCCATCCTCCTCCTCCTCCTCCTCCTCCTCCTCCTCCTCCTCCTCCTCCGCATAGTAAGGACGGGTGGTAAGGACACAGGACCCTTGGAGGCCGAAGTTTGATCTTTTGTGGGAGGCGGGCGGCCAGAGCCCCATGCGGAAACGGCAGAGGCCGCGCCGCAGAGGCAAGGACACAAGGGTACCCTAGAGAGGCCGCGCGTCCTTCACTAACATGCGCGTTGACTCCCCGGACCTCTTCCGTGATGCGTTCTGACCAGAATCTCGAGGCGAGTCCAGCGGTGGCGAAGGGGGCCTCCCGGGAGGCCCAAAAAAAGGGACAAGGAGGAAAGGCTAGCGGCACGGGTACCTTCCCAGTTTTTCCAATACGCGGTCCCTGGAAATCCCGACCCTTTCCCTGGGGCCGCCTTCTCATCCCCAGTCATCTCTTGACGGTCCTGGGGCCCTCCTAGGGGCTCCAGTAGGAACCGAAAACTGGTGAAATCCCCCCGACCTGATCTTTGTCACGACGCGAGCGTGTCTGGCTTTTCCCTCCTCTGAACTCCTGCGGCGGAGGGCTACTCTACCCAGACCCCCGGCGTCATGAGTCTTGTCACTGCACCGACCCCAAGAACTTTCTCACCCTGGCTCTGTCTTCACGGCCACGAGGCACTGTGAGGGCCCCCAGAGGCCAAAGGTGGTATACAAAAGCCTTCCGTCGTGTTTTTCTTCTTCTCCCCGCCACGCACGGGGGTCTGGGCTGGAGGAGGAGAAGGAGGAGGAGGAGGAGGAGGAGGAGGGGGAAGAGGAGGAGGAGGAGGAGGAGGAGGAGGAGGAGGAGGAGGAGGAAGGAGGAGGAGGAAGGAGGAGGAGGAAGGAGGAGGAGGAGGAGGAGGAGGAGGAGGAAGGAGGAGGAGGAGGAGGAGGAGGAGGAGGAGGAGGAGGAGGGAGGAGGAGGAGGAGGAGGAGGAGGAGGAGGTGGAGGAGGAGGATGCGCGCCGCCCAGCGGCGGCCCCTCGGCGTGGCCGAGGCGTTTCCACTCGGCGGGGCCTGGGCCACGCCGTGGCGCTCGAGGAGCAGGCGGTAGGGCTCCGGGTCGGCGTCCAGGAGCTCCCGGGCCTCGCGGGCGGCGGAGGCACGGGGCAAGCCGAGGCCACGGTTGGCGTTAGGCGGGGCATGCCCCCCTAGATGCGGATTTGGGGAGAACAGTGGACAATGGTCCAAGCATGCCCCCCAAACAGTCGAAAACCATGGTCGACAAAATCTTTCCCACATTATTTTCTTGACTATCCTCGAATGCTCCTCCTGTAGAGGGGCACGCCCGACTTAACGCTTATCAGCGATGTTGACGGCGACGTTGGGAATGTGGTTTTCGCGACGCCGAACTCGCAAAGAGCACATTGCATGAACAAGCACGAGCATTGCTTTCCTACAATTGGGTTGGCCACCAATCACCCCCAACCAGAAGACCGACACCTACATCGCCGTTAACTGCATCGCCATTAGCATGTCTGCGGAGACGGAACCATTAGCCAATGAATCCAGGGTCTAGAAGTTGGTGGAATTCCAAACAAGGAGTGGCCATGGACATCACCACCACTCTCATCAGGTAAGGAATGCTCCAGGGTCTGCAGCATCCTAGGCACAGCCGTGCACGAACTCCACCACTGATTTTGGTTCAGTCGGGCGCCACATCACTCTGGAGCATCTTGGCGACGAGAAGAAGCGGGTCTTGCGCCCGATGACGTGGCGACCTTGCCCCGCGGCCTACGCGAGGAGATGGGGACACTTAACGCGCGTTCTTACGCGGCAAGCGCACGCGCGAATGTCAACACAATCGGCCACGTGTTCTTCCGTCGCTCGTGTGCGGAGGCAGGGAGCGGAAGCAGGAGGAGATCGGAGGAGGAGGGAGGAGGAGGAGGAGGAGGAGGAGGAGGAGGAGGAGGAGGAGGAGGAGGAGGAGGAGGAGGAGGAGGAGGAGGGAGGAGGAGGAGGAGGAGGAAGGAGGAGGAGGAGGAGGAGGAGGAGGAGGAGGAGGAGGGAGGAGGAGATCGGAGGAGGAGGGCCCTGGGATCCAGGCGTGGCTCCTCTGCTCGCAGCGGGCGCTGTCTCGCCCGGCGTCGGGCCCCAGGAGGCCATCGCGGGCGGATCTGGCCAGAGACATGCAGCATGAAGAGGAGGTCTCGGGCCCGTGGTCGCGAAGCGGCATTCCTTTCGCAACGTCGAATCTCAGGGGAGGACGAGGCGGAGGAGGACAAGGAGGAGAAGGAGGAGGAGGAGGAGGAGAGGGGGAGGGAGAGGGAAATGAGCGGGGAAACTGAAGAGGAGGGAGGGCCACCAAGAACCCCCTCACACAGTCAACGACCACCACGAAAGTTCCAGAACTACGCGGCGACGTCGTAGACGACGACGACGACGACGACGATGACGACGACGACGACGACGACAACGACGGTGACAACCCTCAGATCCAAGCGACACCAAAACAGAATCCTGGGGGCCGCTTCCGCGCCCTGGGGCCGTCAAACAACAGCTCGGGATGAAATGCTGATGGCCCCGGGAAGGGGTCGGAGTTCATTGGGCCCAGACAATTGTTTCCTCCCTTCCCTGCAGGCCAAAAAACCAGGCTCTACGTTCACGCAGGCAGTTCGACTGTCTGTGCTCATCGCCCTGAGCCCGCTTGACATCTTCTGGCGATCTGGGTGCTGCACACGGAGATGTTCCACGCTGTCGGAAAAGGAGGTGTCGTTCGTGCCAGGCAGGTCCTGATGAGGACTTGCCGAAGCGCTGGAGACGGGCCGGACCAGCTCGCAATCACTCGGACGTCCATTGCTCGTGTATTTTTCGATTTCGTGCGTGGTTTTTTCGCCAAGTGATCAAGGATGCTCCTCGATGGTCCTCGCCGAGGAAAAAACGCACACGTCCGAGCGATGCCAAGTACTCAGTCCGAGACCACAGGGTGCGCGACAAGGGCTCCGATGCGGGTGCATAGCATGTCTTGCATCTTCCAGTGTTGCGTAGAGATCTTTGGCACACAACTCAGACGCGAAGAGCCTGCAACGTCGGAGGAGGAGGAGGAAACGACGACGACGACGACGATGGTGACGATCATATAAGGATGACGATGACGGCGGCAAGCTTCGCTCTTTGACTAGCGAGGGCGGCGGCGACGAGGACGAGGATGATGTACCAAACGACAGTGACGAAGAGGCTCCCGCACCCTCCTCGCAGTGCCCCTTCCTAACCTCCTCCTCCTCCTCCTCCTCCTCCTCCTCCTCATCTCCCTCATCCCCCCTCGCTCCACAGGCCGTCCGGGACGACTCGGGCAGCCCCGGAACGCCCTCGGCGAGGCGCAGCTGCAGGATAGCACCCCGAGGCTGCAACAACCTGCAGGGGCCCACATGACTCATCCTCCGCCGCCTAAAACAAAAAACAGCGGGATTTCTGGGATGCTCTCCACCAGTCCCATCGTGTCGCTCAACAGTTTCCGCGCCCTC